ATTTTGGGGGGCTCAGTGTGGTCAACTTTTCTCTGTTGCTGAGGACAGATGAAGAAAGTGTCAATGTTGTGTTTGAGCAGAAACTCGTTCCTGTCGCGGCCGTGGCCAGCTTCGGTCTTGTAGCGGCCTCCCAGACAGTCCAGAGTTGCCCTTGAGATGTGGATGCGTCTAGAAGAGAGAGAATAGAAGCAGAGAGGATTATCAGCAATGTACAAAATAATGTTTTAAAATCATAATGTGAAGATTGTAGAAGTTGTGAGAAAACCAAGACAAACATCTTCTATCTTTGACTACAACATGTGTGTATGTCATTTTTAACACAGCTTAAAAATCGAGAAAAAGGCCGTTGGAAAACGTTACTCTAAACACTATGTTTCCGTAGCAACACACTGACACTGTACAACTGTCACTGTGTCAGTGTGAAGGTGAAACATGTCAGAAAAGGCACACAAAGTTGACTGCTAGTGTTAAACCACACAATGGAGAATTCTGCCCTTAGAAGATATTTTCTATTTGAATAATCATGGCATCAATTCAGAAAGAGGACATTTGCTTTCCTGTAAATGACAAAGAACTGACAAGTGTCTTCTGAGGCAGAAAACCAAAGCTCGATTTCACAAACTTAATTATGTTTAAAATGTTTCAGAAAATTAATTGAATCCCAGCTGAAAATATTTATTATTGAAGCAAGGGACACATTTTGACTAAAATATTCACTTGTATCTTAAGTATTCAAATATCTAATGAAAAGTCAAGACTTTTTTGAGGCACTTTATTATCATTTTATAGCAATGGAGGCATAACAGTTGGATCTAAGTGGATGAATAGGAGAATATGTCATGAGTTTTAATGAGTGTTAACTATTCTACTTCTTACTCAAATATAACATATTTTGTCCCTTGGTGTAATTTTAAAGTTACCTAGCAATATATTCAGTAGAAAGCAGCAACCTTAAACCAATAGACATTTGAATATAATTTACATTATTCTGCAATGAGCACAATGAATACTTGTGAAGATAATACACTATCATTATGACTTTTAAGTTAAAGATCTGTATACTTCTTGCATCACTGTCTGCTGGCACTTGCAAAGACCACTCACCCAGGTATGCCCCCGGCCTCCAACATGTTGGCAATGCCCACGTCCCAGGACCAGACGTCAAACTGCCATTTCTGCAGGCCCAGCACCCCACACAGCACAGAGCCCGAGTGGATCCCAATCCTCATGTCCATGTCAAACTTCAGCTGATTCCGCACGTACCTGGAGTTTGTGGGAAGTAAAGCCACCGCGTAAGACTAAAACTCTAGCTTTGCAGGACACAAGACGATGAACCCTGAAGAAGTCCAACGATAATACTTTATTGTCAGATCAAGTCTGAACTTTTTCTTGCATCACAGCAGCTCCATTTGCGACATCAAGCAAGGACAAATATTAAGATATGATACAAGGAGTAAAAACATTTAATATAGATAGATAGATAGTATATTAATCACAAATTGGGAAATTCTTAATATAACGTCACACAATCAGAGAAAAGTTGCTCAAGACCCTCTAGTGTACATTTGAACTGGCATTTAGCTCTGTATTTAATTTGAGGATTGACTGGTGCAAAGAGGAGTCCTTCAGTCTAACTTAATACATCTTGGAACCCTGTATCTCCATTATATATGTTCATATTCACTGATCAGGACATGGTTGGGGTCATAGACAATGTTGATGGCCATCCTCACTATGTTATTATGGTAGGCTGACTCATAGAGTTTCTGACAGGGTTGACCTACAGTCACACTGACCCTATAGCGTTGATCATGTCCAGGCCCAGCTCAACACAGTGACGGGCATGGGCTTGCTGCGGCTCAGGGACACCTGACACACAGTAGTAACAGTCTCCCAGGAGCTTTATCCGCAAGCAGTGGTGCTCCTGTGATGAGGAATGATCAAGACACCAGGAAAAAGAGAAAATAAGTTATTGAAATAGAAAATATATGATCTAAAAACAAAGGGGCTCAAATTCTCACATCTGCTAGTCGGTCAAAGCGCCCGAAGAGCTCGTTGAGGGTTCGGACCAGATCCTGGGCTGATAGTTTCATGGACATCAGAGTGAAGCCCTTTATGTCTGCAAAAAGGATGCTGCAACGTGAGAACAAGAGTTATAAACTAAGTGTTAGGCTAAAACATTTAAAATGTATACAGGGACTCCTGTAACTTCAATACTCAGACTGTTACACCACTGTTGAGAGATTACTGTGCAATATACACCAGATGTATCTGCTACCTCATTACTTGCTACTTATTTTTGTTACTTGTGTGACTAATTATTTGATTTTCCTTTAATAAAGGTATGCTTTCCTCTTTATGTTATTCCACTAATTTTATTTTTGCCTTTTTGTCTCCACCGACCCTTTACTGTAACATTTTAAATTTCCCCACTTTGGGACAAATTAAAGATATCTGATTCTGATATAAATTAATCTGATTCAACAGTTTGGCTTTGACTGCATCTAGGCCAAAAAAAAACATCTATCTTCTGTACGTAACACTTACAAAGGTTTGGCTTTAAGTGAAGCTAATACGATAGCACATCATCTAGTTGAGTTTATAGATCGGAAATGTATCTTCTACAGGATTCTTTCTTGTGTTTCTTTGTTTCATGGTTAAATGCACTTATTGTAAGTTGCTTTATATAAAAGCGTCAGCTAGGGAAATGTAATGTTCCAGTGAACATTTGCAAGATTGTAAAGAAAATTAAGAATTTGCTATTCCAAAGACTCCCAAGAGCTATAAAAACAATTAACAGCATCCATGAGAAATGTATTTTGTGTGTATGTGTGTGTGTGTGTTTGTTTGTGTACCTGACGTCCTTGTACTGGTGGATGTAAATCTTGTGAAACTCATGAGGATTAAGCTCGTCTACCATAGAGCTTATGTCAGCCATCATCTCCAAGGCAACAAAGCGAGGCAGGATCGACAGCACCAGACGCTCCTGTGTGGACAAATAATAAATTGTATTTGCAAAGTATAGCTTCAGCAGTATAATGCTTGCTAATTCACAGGTTTAGAAGATAACTCAGGAGCCAATTTTTGGAAAGTTTAGACGAAAGAGACACATTACATTACATTGCATTTAGCTGACGCTTTTGTCCAAAGCGACTTGCAATAAGTGCATTCGACCAAGAAGATACAACCTTGGAGAAAACAGAATCATATAAGTACATCAGGTTTCATAGAGCCAAACATTCCAATTGCTACTCAACTAGCTTTAGATAAGCCAGTCCTTTGTTAGTATATAAGTGCTTTGTTAGTATATAAGTACTTTGTTAGTAATTCTATCGCTCGAAGTGGAGTCGAAAGAGATGAGTTTTCAGTCTGCGCCGGAAGATGTGTAAGCTTTCTGCTGTCCTGATGTCAATGGGGAGCTCATTCCACCATTTTGGAGCCAGGATAGCAAACCCACGTGTTTTTGCTGATGGGAACTTGGGTCCCCCTCGCAGTGAGGGTGCAGCGAGCTGTTTGGCTGATGCAGAGCGGAGTGCACATGCTGGGGTGTACGGTTTAACCATGTCCTGGATGTAGGAAGAGCCAGATCCATTAACAGCATGGTACGCAAGTACCAGTGTCTTGAAGTGGATTTTAGCAGTTACTGGAAGCCAGTGACACCAGTCAGTGGTGTTAAAAAAGTATCATCGTCTGACCTCTAGCTTTATGCAGCAGTCACCTACCTGTCTCTGGTTCTCCTGCTCTAGTTTGAGGCGACCCTCAATGCAGCGCCGCGTCTCCAGGAACACCTGTCTCTGGGCATGGTCTGTCAGGTAGTGGATGAACAAGCCGGCTGTGTTCATACCTAGGTACAGCAGGCCTTTGGCAAACACCTACATGCAAGAGAGAATATGTATCATATAGTTGATTTTAACCAGGTAAACCCAAAGCATGTAGGGTAAGGAAAAAGATAGGAAATAGGAAACTGGTTTTTCTTTAGGGATCTCAGAGAGAAATGTTCATACTTAAAGGACTTGTGTACAAAATATGATTAGCTCTTGATACATAGACAAAAGGCTTGTTCTGCAAAATAAGATGGCATACTAAAGTGAGATTTTTTCCACTAAATGTTTAGGCATAGATAGGCATTACATTTCATCACTTGGTGTTTTATTAAGCAATTTACAGTTACCTATAATTTATTAGGCAAATAAAACTATAATATATGCCTTTTTATCCATAATACATTTGATTTTATACTATAATTAAACATAAAGGAATGTAACTAAGTATAGAAACAGTTTTGGTTTGATAATGAAAAAAAATCTCAAAAGCTGATTTCCTCACCTTTCTCAAGAGCTCGGCATCATTGTAGTGGCGCACAATCTCCACCAGAAGGTGAAGTACTGAGGTGAGGGAGCCGGCGCACATGGCCCACAGCAGAGGTAAGGGTAGCAGCGTGTAGGTGGCGAACAAAGTGAACAAAACATACCACGAAGGGTCTTTCTCCAGTCCATACACCAGTCCTCCCAGCACCTGTGTGGTCTGAGACATCCAGCTAGCCAGGCCTGCGTAGTTAAGCCATCCAGGGGTCATGTAGTCTTTGCAGGTTAACACAACAACGCAGAGCGCTATAGCTAACAACATGAAAACCCCTGTGAGGACGCCACGCAGAGCGTCTGTGACCCCATCAGGGGCCAGGGCCAAGTACAGAAGCAATATGTGTAGCTTGGCCATTGCATCTATTACATTGGTGATGGCCAGAGAGTTGCGTCTTTGGTGGGAGTAGTGTTGCTGGTAGAGTTTCTCCAGATCCCGAGACCTAAATGTGTGCCTCAGGCTGGGAATGTAGACTCCACGAATTGAGTGGCCCCAGTGTTTAAAGAAATCGGCATCGCTGGCGTATTCGTTACATGTACTCCTGGTACCGTTGTAGGAGCAGGTTGAGCCGCGGGGCTGCGAAGGGTGCACTCTGGTCGAGGAGACCCGGCGTTTAGTGACCCCTCGTGAGACCTTGTTGCGGATTTGTTTGTTGATCTCATTCATGTAGGTATCCGTCACAGAGATTTTACTTGCTGGCTCCAAACCCATCTGGCAAGATGACAGAAAATGATATGTGTTTACTCACATTTCCCATTCTCATCCTTACTGCTTGCCTTCATTCCTTTAAATTACAGAAAGATTGTAAGGTTGTCTGATTTTTGGCAAGAATATATGACTAGGGTGGGCTAAGTCTGGCTAAGGGTTGGTCCACCAGATATACAAACCATAACTTCAAGTTATTTAACCTTTTTTTAAACAGAAAAATCCAATAGAGCTTAAATCTCTTTTAAAATATTGATCTGGCCAAGAAGGCAGCATCAAGTCTATGATGTACACACATCACAATTAAATACATACAATTAAATCCCAACAATTTATACAAATGAAACAGAGCGAAAATGTGTCCATTTAAATATTAACAACCCAGACAAAATCCCTATGTATTGGGGAATGAACAGTTTTTGTTTTGGTTTAACATGCAGGTCATTCCAAGACCAAGGGCAATAAGGAAATAGACTCCTTTTTTCCAGTCTAGCCTGTTATTAGATGGAACACCGAAGGCGTTTTGAGAAAAAATAAAGATATATGTTCATGGGTTACTGTCCTGTAATGGCCTTGTACATTTGAATATACCAATGCAAATTCCTATCCGAGTAGTAACTTAATTTAATTTAATTTCAATTTTCACATTAATTATATGTTCCAGAATTTGGAGCACCATATCCATTCACCTCCATCGTATACGAGTAATGGCATAAATATCAGAGACAGCTTCAATCTAAAAACAGTGGGAAAGTACTGTGAAACCATGTGGTGTTATGTCACATAATGTGATTTTGTTCCGGACATTTTCACAGTCAATAAACAGGTTTTTCACTTAATGTTATCTGGTTTGTGTCAAATGAAGCCGTGGTTCAGAGCTTACCATGTCCATCACAATCCTCATAATCGTGTAGATGAATATGACAAAACAATAGGACACCAAGCAGTAAAAGACAACAGTATTATCTAGAGTTAACAAATCCACTGATGATTATGTATCACCTGGCCGCTGAGCTCCTGCTGGGTAATGATGTGTTTCACAGCGTTCTGCCACAGCTTCTTTTTCCTCCGCAGCCCAGGGGACAGGGTGGCGGTAAGGCAGGGCGGCTCACGCAGCTCCATGGGGCGGACTACTGTCGTCTCGGCAAAGGTGACCATGGTGGTGAGTTTGGCTGACCTCATCCAATGCTGTCAGATCATGAGGAGGCAGCACCCTGATGCTGGAAGGGTGGCATTGTTGGGGGTGAATACAAAGAGGAAAAGATGGTGATTAGTGAGGGGTTTCACTTGCTTTTCTCACAAATATAATGGACATTCATTTTTAAAGGGGCACTCTACCAATGTTATTCATTAAGTTCAGTATTGTTAGTACTACTTAGCCCATGAGAACAACTTCCTCTTTGGCTTTGGAGGAGCTTTGACAGATAACCCAAGTGATGTCACAGTGAAGTCATCAGGATAATCTCAGCGGGGGCTTGGAGATTACAAATCATAACACATTTTTTTACAAACTGCAGGTGTGGCGTTAAAAGGGTGTGGCTGTTTACCAGGCGGAGAGGGTTAGGGTTTCTAATATATTATGATTTCGAGTTGAATTATGTGGGAATGCAGGATTCATTTTGGTAGCCATATCTCAGCCCCAGCTGCTTTATAGAACACTAATGGTACGCAATTAAGCGTGTATGGCCAATTTAGAAATTTGACACATTCTGAGACAGATGCAAAAAAAACAAAAAACATCACAAATACATTAACATGAAACAAATGAAGGTTACTATCAACAATTCTGGCTTCATTCAAATATCCTCTGTGGAAAGTAAGCCCTCCTCATTCAATTTCCATCAAACCGTTTTTTTTTTCATTTTTACCAATCTCTCTGAAAATAAGTTCTTACTAATATATATGGCTATATATTTGTACGAGATACATCATTTGAATTGAACATTTAAATTTAATTTTGCTGCTTGCTGGTTTGAGACAAACCGTTTTACACTGACTTTGCTGAATCATGATAATTGTTGCTATTTTGTAACTAAGAAATAAGAATATACAACAATTTATTTATTGATTATACTGTAGCTTTTGTGGCTCCTGATTAACATTTACACCTCACATGTTCTTTATTAAAGAAAAAAAAATCCTAAAAGAAGCATATCAAAGCCTCGTAATTGTTTAAACTCTTTTCAACATTTTGATTTATGTGGATAGTATGGTTGTGCTTGACACATGTAGCATGTTGTAAGAAGCCCATGATGAAACGTGTTTGCACAATGTGTGCCAGAAGAAAGGCAGCTTTACAGCAAATTATCTGGAGGCCAGATTTAGACGTGAGCTGGTTAAGGCTCCGAGTTAAACTCCTCCAGGTCCTTCTGTCATTGTCCCGCCCACTCACTGTCCATTGTCAGCAGTCTGATTGTCACTTTGCATCATCACTGCAAAGAACGAATATGATGAAACATAGTATTTTAAAAGATCTGCCTTCCTAATTAAGGCTGTCATTATGGCAGCTGAAAATCTTCATCCTTTGAGAAAATGCTGTAAAATGGCAGCTTTTTATTTTTTGGACTGGTTGATCATACTGTTCTCTAATGTAAAACGAAATCCAGATGTATTGGTTTAGATGCAAGCACTATTTGATTTCAGGCTCTCTCTATGATAAAATCCTAAACTCTTCTTGTTAAAATAAGAGTTACAAAGAAATAGAGTATACTTTCTGACAACTACATGGGGAAGGGGAAAAGTCTTGAGAAGTTAAATCTTATGCAACACTTGTAGTATAACCAACACCTTCACTCATAAATACATGTTGGCTTGTGGCCACTACTGACCTGTATTGTTTTACATATTGTGTATCCTTGCATCATGTCCACCATTGGCCAAAGGATATAGTCTTCCAGCCCATGGTAATCCACTTTTGCTGATTCCATCGCACAGGAATTGCACGCAGATCTGAAAATTAAGGCATAATCCATGAAGGGGAAGTGATAGTTGAAAAAGTCCCCTCTGTATAGATCCAGCCAAGATATGTTGAGTCGTTCTGGCAGGAATGTAGGTCATCTCATGCACTGTTTTGAAATGAAGTCAACAACTGCACTGAAGGAGAGCAGCAGGAGTGAAGAGTGCAAAGAGGATTTGCCAGTCAGCAGCCACTCTCACTGGCCTACAAAGCTGATCATTGGCACGAGGACAACTTTAAGATAATTGCAACGCTGTCAACCTTTGACCGAGTCAACTTAACCTTTAAAATCACAGTTGACATTTTATTGAAATAGAATTACAATAAATGCTTTTTAATTTGCTCTCTCTTTAATACTCTTCATATTTATTTTTAATTTACTCCCATTCAAAGAGATTAAAAGCAGAGTTAATGCCTCAATATTGCCTTCATGCTCTTGGCTATGTCAATATGCATTAGAGCCATAAGAGCAAAAAGTTCAAACATTACCTAAAAGCCTACAAGACCAGGCTGTTCAAGCATGACGCTAAATAATCACACACATGGGAACAGAACCCTGAGGTGAAATGCTTTTCAGGTTCACAATTTTTCATTCCAGACCTGATTAAAATGCTATTTCCACACAATTATATTTGTGCTTAATGTCACTTCATCATACTCTGTGGTTGCTTCTTGATTGGCTTAGAAATACTTCAATAGGGCAATTATTAAGGCAATTATAACCACTGTTATATCTGCTTTTTGAAGACAGGATTGTCGAGGACAAAGAGGTTTTCTGCCATGTTTTATTAATTTTTTTCTCTATAAAAAAAACAAAGTTAACCGAAATAAATGTAACTTTTCTTTCCTCTTCCCTATGTACAAAAGTTAGCCGTTGGAGATAATTGATTGATTGAAACATTTTTTTAAAGAGTCTAATTGAAGATATTAAAAGCAGTGAAATTATTTGCTGCTTCAGTCTTATTCTGGTTTCTGCTACTTCAGGCTGGTTAATGTTAACACAAGTCAAGTAGTAATTCTGTAACAAATACAAAAATGTTCTGGTCATTTGTTGTATTGTAGATTTTATTAGCAATTTCAGCCATACAATTGCCTTGAAATGTGCTGGATTTGGTGATGGTGTTTCCTAATTTAAAGTGTAACACATAAATGAATTACTCTATTTAGACCAACATTACTTTAAACCTTTCTTTTGTTCACTTATTTTGTCATTTTGTATATTTTTTCAAAATCATGACATAACCACAACATCGGCGATTGATTGTATCAGTAAGATAAGAAGAGAGGAATTGAATTCTCAAGAGGAACCAAAAGAAAAAAGGAAATATCAGACACAGCAATATCAGGAAGTGTATCGGAATAGACAACCATCCCTCAGAATTAATGAGGAAGAGCACTTACTGGGCTGATAGCATCAACAGGTCTGCGCTGCATACGGGTTTAAGCTGGTTAAAGTTTTTGAGACGTGCTTTGCTAATTGCGTCCAGGCCCCTTAGGCTGATCTAATGGATTCCCATCTGTCCAACCGTGACTGCGTGGCTCAAACCTTTCTCGCTGATTACTGTGCATCTAAAAATAGCCTAAGGGTCTAAGGCAATTAGTTCTACAGTACTATAACTGCTAAAACCAAAACAAGCGTCTAACACTTGGTAAGTATAGTAAAGCACATTTATGAGATGAAACATAGAGTTAATCATTGGTGATCGTTCTGATATAACACAGCCTTTGAGTTCATAATGGGCAATTTAGGTTAATGCCTGTGAATGTCATGATTCTACTGCACAAATCTGTCATTTCATTTAGGTTCTCCATTTGAAGGGCACTTTAGCTTGTGTCCTGAGGGGGGCGTTAGGATGAATTAGTTTGCTAAGGTAAAACACATCATGCTAATTATGCAATAAGCCAAAGGGGTCATGCTTACCGTGATTTTAGAACATATAAGGGGTGTTGTTGAGCATGATGCAAAGTAAGGTAGTTATTTAAGGCTAGCCGCTTTGGCTGTCCTCTAATCAGGTGATTCACACACATACTCACGCCAAACCTGAAAAAGAACTTACCAATTAACCTTGTTAAACGTTTCACTTAAGTTGGACACAAACACCTATTACCGTCTATTGGTGTTGTATCACAGACGCACTGTGTTATGTGTGTGTCGTAACACTCTTAGAGTTCAATAAGATCGTGATTGCATGATAGCTTTGTTGGCAGTCTCACAAAGCTCTCAAAGGTGAAGGTGTGTACAGGTCAACTAGGGACAAGGTACAACAAAGACCAGTGCAGAGATTTTGCTGGAACACTTTCACGATAATTTTGGGTTTTAAAATCTTCAATGTGTTGAATCAAAGAGTTTTGCCAAATCAAAAGATAAGCATGCAAAGGATTATGACACAATGGATTTCAGCCCATATACCTACACATTGAGGTCCTGTATGGTAGGGTGATAATAAGGAGCACTGGGCAGGTTTATCTTGTAACTTTATCTTGCACTGGGTCCTTATGACCCTGCAGGAATAAATGCCTAAATGAATAAAGCTTCCTTAAATGTAAATGACATGTCCAAAGCTAATGTAAAGACTTTTCCTTTATAATTTGAATAGGATTTTGATAGAGCTCTGAGCTTGTTCGACAATAAATGTAAGGCTAATAGCCATCATGTCATCTGGGCCTGTCCCCAATAGGCCCATGTTATAATCCATCCATGCAACAATCCAGAAATACCTGTCAGCTTTTAGGACTCCCCATTTTCTGCACAGTCCTATCACTAAGTTTCTACTCTTGCACTGAAATAAAATCATAAATACTAGTAGTAGTCACAGGTTTATCTTGTAATGAAAACCTCCAAAACCCTTAGCTGTAGCTTAGCTCTCATTGGCTCAACATAAGTAAGATGGTATTATCCTTTTCAAAAAGAGTCCCACAACATTTGCTATCTTAAAGGGGCTGAATAGTTAAAGAGATGACAGCAGCAGAAGACATTAAAATTAGTGTCACATAAACAACTCAGGGATCTGATGGCTCAGTGGGGATAAAAGACCCTTGGAGTTAAATGCTTTAGTGGTCTGCCGAAAAGCACCAAGTCTGTTGCCAAGACTGGTTTACTCATGGCAATCTCCAAACGGATTTTCCATTTTACTCACTGCTGTCCCCAACTGGTAGAAGAGAAATATTTCCAAAAACAGGATGTCCCATCCACAGATACAGAGAATAAAGAATACATATTTTTGATTAATTATTTTATAGCCTGATAGTCAGACTGAATTTTGTTTCACTCATAAATATTTTGTAAGTATTCTTGCATTGCTGAAAACAAATTAGGCAGGACATTGTCTGAATGGCTGCACTCTTAAACAGCTCTGCAGAAATTAGGATATATGATGTAGGATTGCATCATTTAAAAGGATATTCTAGCACAAAATAGGTTAAAATCTAAATCCACTGATTATGAGAAAGCATGTTGTTGACCCAAAAGGCAGGAAGAGATATCATTTAAAATTAAAGTGCCTAACCATGGGATAATTTTATTCCTCTGAAAGCAATGTATTCAAACACAAGATTAACACTGTCTTTTTTTTTTAAATACTTGAAATTAAACTAAGCCTATATCACATAACTTTTCATATTAGACTACTACCAGAATTTTGTGACGTTGTGTTTCTTTTCACACATAAATAATACCATTGACTGTAACTTAGCAAATGATAATGTGGATAGTAGCCTACCCTATCAGCAACATTACTCAATTTATATAGGATATTTATAAGAATTCCAATACATTCATGCTGTGAAATTAAAGCATTTGTCAAAAGTAATGACATATTAAGTGACCATTATTGTCAAAAATAATGGCAAAGTTTCTCATTAATATGGGTTGCGATGTCATTTTTCAAGATTGTTTCTCATAATTATTATGTTACGGGATATTGTTTTTGTCCTCGCATTGTCGTAAATTGTCTTCCATAAACATCTGAGAGGAAGTATTTGCATGATATGCAATCAATCTTTCTAATGTGTTTTCGAGTAGTCTGCACTTGTTCAAACATGACAAAAGCTGCTATCCATCGGTGGGCTGTCACATATACATAGTACTAACAGCTAGCCAGTAACAGCTGTCAACCAGAGGAACAGTAAGTAAGGCTGTTACTAAATGTGTCTTTGAATAGTTTACCTTTAGTCAAAGGGGCTGAAGGGACCCGCACGTATGCCGCACACTTTAAGGATTTTCCTCACTTCATGGTACGTAATTTTTTTACATTTATTTGCGTTGTTGTGATACGCGCAGCCAGGGGAATCTCGTTTAGCAAGTCAGGCAGATAGCTAGCTAACGATAGCATACTTTGCTATTAGCATAGATGAATGCTAGCTCTGAATTATAGTTACTTTATGTAGATGTATATACACAACATATACATATATAACCGTATGTTTTCATTACGTCTAAACCTTATTGAAATCCAGGGGTTAAAACACTATCAGAGAGCACACATTTAAATGAAAACATGTAACAGCTAACTATGCTAACATTAGCCTTACTGGAAAGTGTCCTGATTTCTGTCACAACAATATTTTATAAATACGCTCTTGCTTTTCACGTGTCAGGTAAACTTTAACACCGGGTATTTCCCGTTTTTTTTTAGGTTCAAATATCATTTTAATGTCAACAATATTTATTAGGTCATCGGCTAATTTGGGCATACTAACTTCCACAGGCCAAAGACAATCCAGCGGTTTTCCTGATTTTTCGAAGCGCCGTTGGAGACTCAGTTTGGGGCTAAAGTGCCTCAAACCTCAGTGCCTCTGTGGACCTGGAAGAGCAGCGCCGCCTTGTGACAAGCTTCCAACATGACAGGTGGGGAACACCACACTATTAAACACCTGTACTATACTTGAGGACGTATTTACAGCACTATACATTCAATGTAGCACACTGCTGAAGAAGTTTGATTAATACTAGTTGTATGAGCTGCCTGATCCCTAACCCGGTATGGAGACAGCTGATTGTGAAAATGTTTAGTGAGAGAAGCTCTGCATCAGTGCTCTAGGTGTTGGTGTGAATGATGTGTCTATTCCCGAGTGTTATGTGTGAATTTGCACAGAAAAATCACTCACCAGACATTTTGCCTGTGTTGGCATCTGCTGATAGATACATTCCTTGAACCTCAAACCCACTGACTGAATGTCTGTCCCACAGTGCCCCTCTCTCTCCATCCTCCTCTCTCTGTGTCTCCCTGTCCCTTTCACCCAGAGAGAGACTATGGGTGGATAGTGAGTACCATTGTGTCAGTGAGATGTTTATTAATGAGAGAGGCGCACACAGAGAGCAGAGCTGCTATTGACGGACTAATCGCTAATCTCTTCGTTAATACTTCAATCTGCCTATGAACCAAGATACATCACTGAGAAGCCTCAAGACAGGGACATGCAAGCTGGTGGTCTGCAGGAAGTACATTTGGGAATTTATTCCAGTTGGAAACTTTTTGAAAGTGAAGTTTGAGTTGGCTTTTCTGTTCAGGCTCGTCTTTTAGGACAAGTATATGTGTCTAATGTTTATTGCGTCCAAACTGGGAAGTTGTGGATACATGTCAGTGAGTATAGTATTAAATTGAGCTTTTCTGTCAAGGAACTTTGAAGTAGTTGGTGGTAACATTTTCCGTTAGCGTTGATAGGTAATTAAACAAATATATTATAACCAGAGAATAAGGGATTTGTAGTCTGCTGCTTATTCTGTTGCATTAAGGTTTTCAGTTTTAGCTTTTTGGAGGTTTACTGTGTCGATAAAAGGAGTAGTGTGTGTCTGTGTGTGTGCTTGTTGGTTGCCTGTCATGCCCTTGCCTGCGCCTGATGTCCCGGCCTCTCAGAGGCTGGCACTGGACTGTCGTACCCTTCTGGACCATCGCATTGGCAAGGGTGAGTGATAACACCACTTCCTCTGTTCTCTCCCTGGCTCCTTCTCCGTCTCTTGAGTCGCTTGAACAAGGAATTATTTCACTTAAAAGGTGCTTTCTCCATGTGCTTCTAAAATATGTTGTGTTGTAAAAATAACTTAAATTGAATGTTGGAGGTCTGATTTGCTATGAGCCACTTCCTGTGTTGTAAAATGAATGCAGTTTATTTTATCGATAAAAGAGGAACTTAAACCCTTGAGTAAGCCAACATAAAGAGGAACACTGGCTGTGGTATTTAGCACAGGTTGCTGTTAAACAGTGTTGACTGGCTATAGGGTCATTCATTTATAGTGTGTGTGTGTTAATGTTGACTTTCATATAGTCTTACACTGATAAAATCTCTGTTTGAAAAGAACACTGTTTGTTCTTCCATCAGAATAAAAGAGATGCTTATAGCTCCAAAGGGAATATTGCTTATATAGCAACATTTCCGGCATGCACGATGTAGGAAAACAAAGCTTTATTGTAAATGATTATGATGATTAATTATTGAAGTGATATTGTACTGGAGTCCTTTTTTTTATCCAATAAAATAAAAGTTCACAGTAAGTATAGAGAGGAACTTCAGCTATCTATAATATGATTTTGTAATGTAATATCATTTTGTATAACATAACAAAATAAGATATAATATATATTTTTTATTAGCTGCCCAACTGAGAACTATTTTTTTCTTTCAGTCCATACATTTAATTTCAAGCACTCGTTCATGCTTTTACAAGGACAATGCAGCATCTCCAGGTTTATGTTTTCACAACATTTTTGTGCATTAGAGCCAATAATATGGATTTCTGGGTTTAATGTTTGTCACAGTTTTATGGTTGTGTTGTGTAATGTAGACTTTTCGGGCATTTCTGTGGAGGTTGGGGACATTGAACCAGAGTGGTCGGTGTTCAAAGCCTCTATTGCCGAAGCCGCGGCGGGGAGCGGCGAGGAGCGGCGTGGTCTCAAGGTCCTAGGTGCCTCAAGGGGCGGTAACCCTCGAACCTCCTGGTGGACACCGGTGGTCAGGGAAGCCGTCCGACTGTAGAAGGAGGCCTTCAGGGATTTGTTATCCCGGGGGACTCCCGAGGCAGTTGCAAGGTACCGACAGGCCCGAAGGGCAGCAGCCTCAGCCGTGGCCGAGGCAAAGCAGCGTGTGTGGGAGAAGTTCGGAGAAGACATGGAAAAGGACTTTCGGGCGGCACCAAAGTTGTTCTGGAAAACTGTCCGACACCTCAGGAGGGGGAAGCAGGGAACCATCCAAGCTGTGTACAGTAAGGATGGGACGTTGTTGACCTCAACTGATGGAGTGTTAGGGCGTTGGAAGGAACACTTTGAGGAACTCCTGAACCCGACAACTCCGCCCTCTATGTTAGAGGCAGAGCTGGAGTATGACGGGGGATCGACACCAATCTCCCGGGGGAGGTCACTGAGGTCGTCATACAACTCCACAGTGGCAAAGCCCCGGGGGTGGATGAGATCCGCCCAGAAATGCTGAAGGCTCTGGGTGTTGAGGGACTGTCATGGTTGACACGTCTCATCAACGTTGCGTGGAAGTCGGAAACAGTACCGAAGGAGTGGCAGACCGGGGTGGTGGTTCCCCTTTTCAAAAAGGGGGATCAGAGGGTGTGTGCCAATTACAGAGGCATCACACTACTCGCCTCCCCGGGAAAGTTTATCTAAGGTACTCGAAAGGAGGGTAGGCCGATGTCGAACCTCAGATTGAGGAGGAACAATGCGGATTCCGTCCTGGTCGTGGAACGACGGATCAGCTTTTTACTCTCGCAAGGATCCTGGAGGGGGCCTGGGAGTATGCTTATCCGGTCTACATGTGTTTTGTAGACTTGGAGAAGGCGTATGACCGTTCCCAGGGAGTCACTGTGGGAGGTGCTGCGGGAGTATGGGGTGAGGGGGTCTCTACTCAGGGCCATCCAATCTCTGTACTCCCAAAGCGAGAGCTGTGTCCGGGTCCTCGGCAGTAAGTCGGACCCATTTCAGGTGAGGGTTGGCCTCCGCTAGGGCTGCGCTTTGTCACCAATCCTGTTTGTAATATACATGGATCGGATTTCGAGGCGTAGTCGTGGGGGAGGGGGTCTGCAGTTCGGTGGACTAAGGATGCACCACTGCTTTTTGCAGATGATGTGGTTCTGATTGGCTTCATCGGTCTGCGACCTTCAGCACTCACTGGATCGGTTCGCAACCGAGTGTGAAGCGGCTGGGATGAGGATCAGCACCTCCAAATCAAAGGCCATGGTTCTCAGCAGGAAACCGATGGACTGTCCACTCCAAGTAGGGAATGAGTCCTTACCCCAAGTGAAGGAGTTCAAGTATCTCGGGGTCTTGTTCTCGAGTGAGGGAACAATGGAGCGTGAGATGGGTCGGAGAATCGGAGCAGCGGGAGCGGTACTGCAGTCGCTTTACCGCACCGTTGTGACGAAAAGGGAGCTGAGCCAGAAGGCAAAGCTCTCTGTCTACCGCGCCATTTTCGTTCCTACCCTCACATATGGTCATGAAGGATGGATCATGACCGAAAGAACGAGATCGCGGGTACAAGCGGCCGAGATGGGTTTTCTCCGGGTTCTCCAGGGTGGCTGGTGTCTCCCTTAGGGATAAGGTGAGAAGTTCGGTCATCCGGGAGGGACTCGGAGTTGAACCGCTCCTCCTTCGCGTCGAAAGGAGCCAGTTGAGGTGGTTCGGGCACCTAGTTAGGATGCCACCTGGGCGCCTCCCTAGGGAGGTGTTCCAGGCACGTCCAGCTGGGAAGAGACCAAGGGGTAGACCTAGAACCTGGTGGAGGGATTATATCTCTTCGCTGGCCTGGGAGCGCCTTGGGATCCCCCAGTCAGAGCTGGTTGATGTGGCCAGGGAAAAGAAAGTTTGGGGCTCTCTGCTGGAACTGCTACCTCCGCGACCCGACCACGGATAAGCGGGAGAAGATGGATGGATGGATGGTTTTGGAAAATTAAACCTGGAAGAGATTGAGTCAATAGGAAAATATTGAAAATTATAATATTTCACGGTTTGAAATATAAAGAAGCGAATACCAGTAAACATGGTTTTATTAATAAAGACATTTTGGTATTTGGCTAGTAAAAAAGGAAAGACCTTTTGTAAAAAGTCGCCTATGCATATTGGGAAAACTGAAAGTAAGTAGAGCAGGAAGCATGCGTGGATTAATGACGGAGAGGAGGGAAAGGGTGATGCTGGTAGGGGGTGGAGAGAGGGGGAAAGGGAAATTGCGTGGGTGGGAGGTCTTCTCCCTTTCCATCTCTGTGGTGCATATTTCTTTCTTATTCTATCCCCATCCGCCTCTTGTCTCTGTTTCTTTCTATGCAACTGAGAATAATTATCAGAACTGGGGGGGGGGG